ATTTCTTGGATGGTTAGTAGTAGGTATATATCTTTTTCAATAATAGTATTGAGTTTTCTATAATCAATACAAAATCTCTTTTGTCTATTCTTCTTTGGCACAAATACAACAGAAGAAGACCAGGGTTCAAAAGATTTTCTAATAATTCCTTTTTCTAGTATTGCTTGAATTTCTTTTTGCAGAAAATCTTGTTCATTAGGAGTGTATTGGTAGACTCTTTGTTTAATAAGTTTGTAGCTATTTGTATTAATTTCATAACAAATAATATTAGTTTGTCCTAATTCCTTGGATTGTTCATTTTCTAAGATATTTTCTGAGAAAATCTCAATATTTTTTATTAAGAGTTGTTTATCTTGGGCATGTTGGTCTTGGGTAAGTTCAAGATTTACATTTAGATTTGGGTTTTCAATAAAATATATTTTTTTTTCTAATAATTAAGTTAGGTAAAAGGCAAGTGTATCTTCTATTTCTGACCAAATATTGTAACACATTTTATCAATTACAAAAGACCATTCTTCTAAATAATAGGTTTCCATTTCTTCTTCTTCATCTAGCTCATCAATCTATTGGTTCTCTTTATTCTCATTTACTTCTTCTAAGGTAAGGTAGAGCTAGTAGTATAAGTAACATTGATAGTAGCTTTTTTTCCTAAATATTAAATATTTAAAGTATTGTTTTCAAAATTCAACTTAGCTCTTAAATTGTTGAACCAATCTGTTCCAAGAAGAAAGTTTTATCTATAAATTCAATTACTTAAAAGTTAATATGAATAATAATATTCTGAATAGTAATTTTCATATTAGGAATAATTTCTAAGACTTTAGTATGATTTCTATTAACAGTAATCACAATAGTTTTGGAGCATTTCTGGATTTGTAGTCCTAATTTTCTCATGAGCTTGGCTGTGATTATGCTTATAGCTGCTTCTAAATTAAGAATAACAATAACAGAGTTTTCTTTAATTTAAATATAACATCTTATTGCTGTAGTCTTTTTAGGATAATCAGTTTCAGCTTAATTTGCTTCTGTGATAGGTTCTTTTTTCTTTTACAAAATTTTTACAAGATTTTTATATTGAACAGGAAGTTGTAACTATTGTTCAATAGTGACAGAGGATTTTATGTTCAGGATGTTAGTTAAAACATCATAGGGTTTAACTTGTTTAATTATAGAAGGGTAAGTTTTGAATTTGGGTTTTGGTTTGGTTCTTTTTGTAATAGGTATATTAATAAAGATTTCTACAGAAATTTTATTCATTTGAGTATTAGGTTTATCTAACATAACAGTTCTATTTCTGAGTTTGAATTCTTTTTGAGATTCAGAATTTTTGTTTGAAAACTTGGCCTGTTTCTGTTAGTAGAACAGGTTTGCTTCTTGGTATTCGTATGATGTATACTTTATTGACATTATTATCATTATTTTCTATTCCAATGTAGTTGATATTTTTTCTTCTATTATGCTAAGTCATTTGCTTGTATTAACTCATTGTAGGTTGCTTTTTAGCTAGACAATCTCGAATATAGTGTCTCTTTTATTTACAGTTATAGCAGGTAATCAAAGGTCTTTAGTATTGATTTCTAAATTGAAATTGAGTTTTAGATTGGTATTGGGTTCTGGGTTGAACTTTTGTTGAATTTTTGATATAGGTTTGATAAGTACTGATGCAATAGTTGCATAATTAAGAGTTATTTGTTGCATTTGTTTGGTTAGGTTGTTAATATTTTTTTCAAAACTTTTGTTAGCAGCAGCTAAGCTAGGTTTACTTCAAGTAGCAAATCCTTTTCTTATTTAAATCTTTTTGTAAATTCTAAAGTATCAGCTACAGTAATAAGATTATGCATTAAAATAACAGAAAGAGTTTTTGAACAAAGTTCTTTATTAAAATGATATAACTTTTGGGTATCAGTTAGGTTGTTATTGGTTTGTACTTATTTAATAATTCTATTGTATCAACTGTAATAGGTTTCAACTGGTTTAGTAGAGAGTTGTTTTAATTCATCTAAATCTTTAATTTATTTATTTTTCCAGTATTGATTACAGAATTATGTAATAAAAGCTGCTTTTATTGCTATCCAATTAGCTTCAGCATCAGGAATAGCTACATATGCAAAATAGTAAGCTTGTTGTCATTTATTAGCATTTTCTCTAAAAAAAGCTGACATAATTTTTCTTTGTTTAGCAAGATTCTAGCTATTAGCAATTATAGCTTTTCGAAGTCAACAATCCAAGTTAAAGAAACTTGGATTTCATTTTTATAGAAAGGATTAATATAAACAACATTTCTATTTTTTTCATTTTCTTTTATATAGTTAAGAATATCATTTCATTGGCCATGATATTTTGAATTTGTTAATTGTATAAGTAGTTAGATATGTGTTGTTGAGAATTAAAAAGTATTTCAAAAGAGTTACTATAATTTTTAAAGTTAAGATGATAAGAAGATTCTAAATTTTTTTCTCTTAATGTAAAAGGATTCTTTTGATAACAGTTAATATAAACAGCTAAAGATATTATACTTTTAATAATATTAATAATATTTCTAGGAAAACTAGAATATTTAAAACTAAAGATAAGTTTAAAGATAGCATTCTTTAATTGAGTTAGATTGAGTTAGAAATTTATTTGTTTAATTTAGTTAAAATATTCTATAGATTTAGCAAAGAAGTCACAAACATAATATTGTCTAATGTAACAGAAATAAAAGTTTTAAAAATTAGAAGATACAGTTGTAGTTAAAGAGTAACAAATTTTACAAGAATCATCTGGTTTAGTAATAGGTAGCTGAGTAGTATATTCTTGGATATGTATAAATACTTTTAATAGGTATCTTCAAAGTTGAATTGCATGTACTATCTATTAGAAACCATTTGTCACAATGCAAACACTTATGTTTTTATTTCTAAATACTAAGTTTTTTAGAAATCAGTAAATATCTCTTAAAGATACTATAATAACAGACTTTGTTATTTAAAAGAAAGTTGTAGAAGGAGTTCTTACAGTTCTAAAGGAGGTCAAAATGCTTAAATTGGTCCAGTGATTATTAGGATATGGATGTTTAAAGTTGGTGTAATGATAGTTTAAATATTCTCCAAAAGAAGTTTTTTACAAATTCTTTATAGATCAGAAATGGCATCATTACTTTGATGTTGATAATAGGTAATAAAGGGATTTTTTTCACTAAGATATGCTTAATAAGAAAGATATAATAGGTTTTAAGTGTATACTTTTCAAATTTCAGGTTAAACAAACCAATATTAACAGAGTTTTCTTATGATTAACTAAACTCAATTATCTATAATAAATTAAGAACTTATCTTACAGTTATCACCAAAATATTAACTTGTAGTTTTTTCTTGAATCATAACAATAACAGAAGCTGTTCAACTATAGTATGATGACTATAACTTGACAGATTCTATACAAAGTCTACACAAGATTTAACAAAATACAGAGTGATTTAGGATTTTAAGGCAGTAACAATAATAAATATTATATGAAAATACTAAATATTGCATTTAGTTTATTAACTATAAAATGTATAAAAACACTTAACTTTCTTGAAGGATAAGAAAGTAATGCTTTTATAGATATTTTACATGTATAAATAATTACTATGAAGACTACTCTATTGCTAACAAATGCTATTTAGAGTAATATTAATATATATAAAAACTAATAGATATAATAGATATAATAGATATAATATATATAATAGATATAAAAGATATAATAGAAATAATAGATATAATAGATATTTAATATCTGTTAGATATGTTAGATATGTTAGATATGTTAGATCTAATAGATCTGTTAGAAATATTAAATTTCTAGCACAGTAATGTGAGCCAATCAGAATTAAGTTACATATATTAGAATTAGTACTTTCATTAAAATTATTCCAATCTCATAATCTTGTGATCAAAATTATATAATCTTATACTTGTCAGAACCATCTCAGTGAACTGAATCCAATGGTGGTTGTTTTTATTCAAATTGAATTAGTATATCAAAAGTTATAATAAAAAATATATAAAACTCTTAATGTTAATAGTATCAGTACCAACAATGAAGATTAAAAAAAAACATAAACCTTTAGTAATCAATAAGTTGATTTTATATAATATTGTAGAAGATATTATAAATGCACTAGCTTATATTATTATAAGACAACTGTTACAATACCCCAACCAGCAACATCTGATAGTATAAGCTCTTTGATGATTTCTATCTCTGGTTTAAGAGACTAGCTATATTAAATTTGAAAACAATAAGAAGATAATGGCAACACACTATTGTGCTAGAATTTGTAGTAACCCAGTAGTAGTAGTATTAGACTCTGGGACACTATTAGTATAATAACCAAAAAACCAGCTGATAAGTTAGAACTCTGTATATAGTTGAAGTTGTTTACTGTTATGATTACAGCTACAGATGCCAAAACAAGAGCATCAGACAAAATTAATAATGTAAGAATAGTAATCTAAGATGCAATAATCTTTAGTAGCCTACAGATAATAGAATCTTCAAACAAAATGTTACTCCTGAGAACTATTTAGTTTCAAAAAACCAAAGCTTGCTTTTACTTTGATAAATAACAATTAATTCTAAAACACTAAGTCTAAACTATTGAGATGCCTATCTCTCACATCAGTACAAAAAGTCTAAGAAAACCTCAAAAGGATGGTTGTGAGAAAGTAGTAGTAATACATTTGACAAGTTTACTTATAAAAATAAGGAGTTGAATAAGATTAATAAGTATTATACTGTAAAGTCTTTTAAAGAAGAAACCAATATATACAATAATCCATGTAAGAATGAAGTTAGTCTAACAATATATTTGATATTAATTAAGAAGATACTTGTCAAAAAAGAAAAGAAAGAGACTAAACCTATTCTAAAAAAATAATTATAAAAATTTATACAAGCAGATACATTAAGCAGTAAAGAGAGAGAAAAGGTCTGCACCTTCTTTAAAAAAGAAAGCTGTTTGCTTACAATAGGTTTTAACAAATTAGGAACAACCAGTTTTGTAACTCATTATATAGATACAGATAAAGCTAAGCAAATCAAGCAGCATTTTTACAAAACATCTTCTAATAAGCAGAAATTTTTAGATAAAGAGTTAGAGTTGTTGGAAAGTTAGAGGTTAATTGAGAAGTCTGAAAGTCTATAGACATCTTTAGTAGTGATTATTCAAAAGAAGAAAACAAGTTGTATATTTATAACTTACTGAAGATGTTTAGAAAGGTAAATTGGTTTATCAGTTTGAACCTTAGGAGTGGTTGCTGACAGATATGAATAAATTTGAATGACTAAAAAAAGACTGTGTTCATAACAAAAAAAGGCTTGTATAAATCAAGATAATGCTATTTGGTCTGTATAATGTACTCACAACATTACAACATCTAATGAATAAGGTGTTGGCAGAGTATATAGAAAATTTGTGATAGTATATATTAATAACATCAATATATATTTTAAGATGTTTTAAGAACATTTAGATCACCTAAAAAAAGTGTTTATAAAATTAAATTTAGCTGGCTTAAGAATTAGTTTAAAGAAATGTAGCTTTTTCAAGACCAAGTTTCAGTTTTTGGGCTACTTTATTAGGCATAAAGTATCTGACTCAATGAGACAAAAGTCAACAAAGTAAAGCACTATCTAGTATCTAAGACTTCTTAACAACTAAGACTTTTATAAGACTAGCATCATACTACTGTAGATTTATAAGAAGATTTGCAACTATAGCATAGCTACTACATAATTTGCTAAAAAAGAATGTTAAATATGAATAGACTAATAAACAACAAAGTGCCTTCAAAAAATTAAAGACATATCTAACTACAGCTTCCATCTTATAGTATTCAGACTTTACAAAAATGTTTTATTTATATACAAATGCATTTGATACTGAATTAAATATAGTGTTAGTATATAAGAGAAGATATTAAAGACTATGTAATTTTATATGCTAGTAGAAAATTTTTATAACAGAAAAGAACTATTCAACTACAAAGCTAGAATGCCTTGCAGTGCTATAGGCCATCAAGAATCATTACTATTACTTTGGGTTTAGATTATTTGTAGTAATAATAGTTCATGTGGCATTATATATCCAAGCTAAATAAAAGGCATGCTAGATGGATTATAAGGTTATAACCTTATAATTGCATAATTAAACACTGAGCTGAGAGGAAGCATAGTGATGCCAATGCACTTTTGCACTAGCATGACCCATAAAAAATCAATAGTAACAGCTTAGAAATACAGAATAATGTCAAAAAGTGTAGAGAGTAGTTGCTCTTGTTAATAAAATGTGATATAAGGCAATATGAAAACAAAACAGAACTAGGTAGGTACTAGTTGGAGTATCAAAAACATGAAGTTAACTACTCATCACAACAATGATAAATGTGATAATAGTAAATAGATTAATGAAGAAACAGAGACATGGTAGGATTTAGATAAAAAATTTGAAGTATATATAGTAATAGAGAAGAATAGTAAAGACAAAGATATAAAGTTAAAAGAATATATAAAGTTAAAGAATAATTCAATCGAAAGTATAACTGCCATTAGTAGAAATAGGCTTGAAATTCAAGATGGTAACCTGATAAAGTTCTAAAAATTGATGATAGGATATCATATAGCATTATGCTTTATCTATCTAACTAGGTCTTATAATAAAGTATACTATGTATATTCCCACTCAACTGAACTTGACTATTACATCTTAGAAATGCTAAATTAATGTAAAACTATCTACCTAGTACAACATTACAGTTATAATTGTTAGCATATAACTCTTAAAATTTATTGATATTACAAAATTGGATTGTTAGAAAAGTATGACAAGAGTTGGCTTGAAGAGAATACTTGTGAAGTACTAGGGTCAATTTAGAATATACTAAGCCTTTGAACAAAGAAGCAGTTAATGCTAATAGTGATGTACAGTTAAAGAAAAATAGCAGATCTATAATTGTAAACCCAATTAAGATCAATAATGAACTTTCAATACTCAACTAGAATCTCAAATTATAAATTAATAAAATTAACTACTCAAGTAACATATAAGTTAAGGATTTCTAATCTTTCATATATAATTACTAACAACCAAATTTAGGTGAGCCTTGGCCATTTCTGTTGGTTTAGGTTACAGATAAACTAGTCTGAGCTTCTACTCTTTTTACAATATTTTCAATCCATTAATATTTAAAAAAAAAAAATAATAAGTTAAGAATTTAAATATTAAATAAAAATTAAATCTGATAATAAATAATATTTAAATCAGATTGTCAGTGTTCTGGCTATAAGAAAGAAATTATGAACCCAATGCTGTATAGTAGAATAAAGCAATATATTTATAATCAATATCTGCTTTAAATTTGAACAAAATGCAAAAGAATATAATAGTAAAACTAAGCAAAACCTTATAGATGAAAGAAGAAATCCTTTATAAGCCTAATATGCATTACTCAAACTGATTAATTAGAATAGTAAAAACCTGAAATTAATACTGATCTGCTAATAACATATAATCATTCAACAAAAAAATATTTTAGAACAGAAATGATGTTTGAAAAGATTAGAGATATATACTACTGAACTAAAATATTTGATAATATAAAGAAATATATTAAAGTTTGTAATAAGTATTAATGAAGAGGCAAAAGTAAATTAAAAGGTCTTCTACATTCTATATCAGTGTTGGTCCTATTTTATCAAGTTGGAATTTTTTTTTTTTTTTTTTTTTTTGAAATGCCAAAGTAAAAACTTTATTAAGTAATAGAAGAATTATATTAAAGATTTCTAAATTATATTTGTGTTACTTGTTTTAAGACACCCAATGTGACATTACATCTCCATTTCTATATAACACTATTATTAATTATTTCAAATTAAT